ATACCCTTTAATACCTTCAAAGAAGCAACAATTAAACTTCCAATTGACTTCCCAACAGCAGCAGTGGGAGCCAGCAGACAGTGAAATTATAACTTCACTTTTGTGTATGTGGAAATTGACAAGGTGATTCCCAAATTTATTTGACAAAACAGAGGACCAAAAATAGCTCAGACACTGCTGAAGAAAAACAAAGTTGGAGCCTTGCCTTACCAATATTATAAACAAACAAACAAACAAACAAATATACAAATATTTTTAGTTAAGTAATGCAGAGAGTAATAGACAAATTGAGCAATGAAAGAGACTCGCAAATATACGAAAACTAGATTCATGACAAAGCTGGTAATTTAGACCAATGGAGAAATATATCAGTAGATATTATCAGAATAACTGGTTATCTATAACATGAAAAATTAAATTAACTACCCCACATTGTATACAAATACTATTCTAGGTATTTACAAAAGACCTAAATGTTAACAGTAAAATTAAACACTTTCAAATATACCACATAGAACATCTTTCTGGTGTACTTCTTAAATAAAACATAAAAAAGTATCAAATAAAGAAAAATATCGATACATTTGAGTACATTAAAATTGAGAACTTATAATTATCCACAGATACCAGAAAAAGTAAAAAGGCACTGAGAAAAGTTATTTGAGTGTTATGTGTGTATGTGTGTTTGTGTATGTGTCTATGTGAGAGAAACAAAAGACTTGTATCAACACAGTACAGTGCTTCTATGGGTTAAAAAATATAAAATTTTTTTTTTAAATGGGAAGGAATGTCACAGAAGAGCAAGCACAAAATATCTACCTCATTGATACTCAGAGAAATACAAACACTATACTGAAATTGCGCTTTACATTATTAAATTAGAAAAATGTTTATTTAAAGTTTGATCATAAGTTAATTCGGAAACCAGTTCAGGATTCCTTGGTAAGGTTGGCCCAGGACTCCTAACATGTGCATGAGGAAGAATGTTCATGAATATTTGTAAATGTGTCATTTGTAATGGAGAAAACCTAAATGTCCACCAGGCATAGAACGAAGAAGAAAATCTTGGTAGATTCTTTATAAAATGTGCAGCAGTGAGGATGAGCAGACCAAAGCTACATACATCATGGTGGCTGGATCTAAAAATTGTATTGAGCAACAGAAGTAATTCTCAGAAGAATGCATACAGTATGATTCCATTCATATAAATTCAAAATCAAGAAAAACTAAAGAATATTTTATTTACTAATAAATATATGGGTGGTAAAAAATTGTCAAGAAGAGAAATGGTTAACACAAAATTCTGTTACCAGAACGCTGGGGGCAGGGGTGTATGTGTGTGTGGCGGGGGGTGGTTAGGACAAGGACAAGGACCAAGCTCTGAGCTCTCTGGGTTCAGAGCCTGGCCTGGAAGGTGTTTTCTCAGTTAACTCATCTTAATTTTTTAAAACTATATATAGCCACTTTTATATACAGATGGGTTTTTATATGCATTAAATGCATGTCCTATTTAACATTTTTCTAGGGAAAGCATACTCTTTACTTGAGACAGATTAACCTGTGGCATGATGAAATCCAAGAATGAGAATCCATTTGACCGAATTTCTGACAACACTTGGCCTTCACTCAAGTGAAGTGTCATCCTGTTCTGTACTGGTCCAGTCACACATCTTTACCAACTAATATTTATATTGTTGTAGTATTGTAAACTCTGTTTATGGTTTATAACTTTTCTAATTGGCCCATAGGCAATTCCAGAAATTAAATTATTAATTAAATTAATATTAATGAGGATGACTCATTAATAATTACTGAACAGAATATAAATATTTTAAATCTTGGCAATATAGAAGGAAAGATTTAGCTGTGCAGAGCATGTGATAGAGGGAGGGACAGTGTTGCAGGGAGAATAGATGGGTGGGTTTCCTCTCTCGACATAGTGTAAGAGAAAAGATACTGTCAGAAGCTGGTTAATCAGGAAATAGATTAAATGTATTTAAAGTTATAAATACAGGAGGAAGTTAGAGTAATAATAGAACTAATAAAAATTGTAAGGAGAGGGGAGGTGATAGCATATTAAATACCTTACCTCTCATTTTTCATATCGGAAAACATTAGGTACCATCCAAAGTTGATACATCTGGAAAAGGGCATATTACTTAGAATAATGGTTAAAAGTCTCACAGAACTAGGAACAAAAGCAAACAAATAATTTTTTTAAACCATGAACATGGATTACTATTATTATAAAGAGAGTTGTGATATAGCAAACCTTTTCTCTACAGCGGAATTCAGGTAACAGATCTATATTTATTCCCTATTCGAACATCTTCTTTAAGGCGATACTCAGCAGTGTGGTCACTTTAAGTATTTAAAGGGCATGAATTCGGTATTATTTACCTCTGTGTGCCCTATCAGAGCTATCAAACTGTTTACTACTTTAGATTGTATATCCATCTCGGTGATGAATGTGCCAAAGTCCTTTCTGTGGCTCAATTTTTTTCCCTCTTCCTCTCTGTAATTGTATTTCCATGTGTAAAATGAGCACACTGGACCCAGCCAGTCTCTTACACCCAGTTTCTTCATGATCATCAATGCAGGTTCCCTCCCAAAGAAACCAGTGTCATATCCATCATGAAAACAGCCGACATCACCAAGATGATCCCAAATGGTCCCCTTTGGTGGCTGCACAGGAACATTTCCTGAGCACCCAACCAAAAAATCTCTTCTTGAGAATTTTCTAGCTTCCATGTATAATTTTCCCTCAAGTCATGATAAAGAAACAGATTCTTAATGACTTAGACACTTAAACATTTTAAGTGAACTTCAGAAGTTGCATCACCTAAAATTGCAAGGTGTTGGAGAGAATTTTGTGTTACATTCTTTCTGAAGGACAAAAATGGTTTGTTTCCATCTGGATCCTGTGCTTACTTTTCCCCAGAAAAGTTCACTCGCTGTCAGCACCAAAGGTGCTGAGAATACTCATTCTCGCCTGTTCGTAAAAGTCTTGTTTGGCTCCATCAGGTCCTTCCTGTTTGCCAGAACCAGGTCTGTTTTCCCTGTTGCCACAACATTGGTGCTGCTTAGAGCAGAGATAATCAGCCTTAGCTTTGTCCCTGCACTGGTCCAGCCCACGATTCCCACAGCCCCAAGCCCCGATAAGGCCTGTGTCCTCTCAACCTGTGAGTTCTTTGGCCATGTTGTTGCTCAAGGTAAAACATGTTTATTTAAACATCCAAACAGTGTCTTCATTTATAGACTCGATTTCCTATTTTCTCGACATAAGTTGTTTGGAAATGTTTACTGTTGCTGGCTGCTACGAGCCTGGCTGTTTTACATTCTTGATTGTGATTGTGTGTGGTGTAACTACCATGGCTACATGCTGGGGGAAGCAACTAATTTCTCTAAATTAAAGGGAGAAAAAAAAATCAGTATGTTGACTTGAACGTCCATTTAGTTTTGTCTTACAGAATGCAGGCGTTGTAACTATTGGGAGGTTCTGGCAGGAATTTTGGCCACTCCGTGGAAAAATGATTCTGGAAAGGACAAAATTAGGTTATTTTCCAGCACTAAAGCCAGTTGATGGGGCCTAAAATGTCTCCTAAGTGAGTATACCACAGACCTGGCCTAGAAGACATAACATAAAAGTATGAGCTTTAAAACGACTTTGTTAATTTGCTGCCTCTAGTTTTACTTCAGCATGGTTTCATGCGGATTGGAGCTCTGTCTAACCAGTGTTTGTTACTGAGGCAATTAAGTAGATTTTGTGGCTCTTTGACAAAATTGCTGTCCCTCATGGTTCTGGTGCTATGTGGATACACATTAGCACCAGGTTTACCTGAGAGAGATGTGTGAACTATTTAACTGTCTTCTTTTTCTTACAACTGTTTCATTTCCTAAAAGAAAAAGAATTGATCAGATTTATTTTGGGGTTCAGTTTGGATGATATCTTCAGAGTGGGATCCCAATGTAATTTAGGGAGTGATTCCTGGGATAGGTGACCACCAGGTACTGTTGACATCTGACAAAGGAGGCTGGGTACAGTGCCTAGGCCTGAGCCCTGAAGACTACACTGGGGGATTTGGGAAGATCTCTGGGCTTGACTCAGAAGAGCAAAGCAAATCAGGCTGCCACCATCAGGCCCATTTCTTACAACCCACAACCTTTTCTGGGGTTTATTAAACTGTTAGCATGGCACAACCATCATAACCACAGCTAGCTCACACTGGCAGTCACGACTCTTCTCCTTCCATACTCTAGCCTCCAGGAAATGAAAAGAAGCACCTTACATGATACCTATTGTGAGAGGACTTTGCCTTTTAAAACTACAAAAAGTAAACTGGTTCCAGGCTCCCTTAATTAAACCCCATTAAATCTTTGATGACCACAGACTTTAGAAACATTTCTTTACCTAACTTCTCAGACAGGAAGGATTTCTGGTTTACATCTTAGTCTCTGCTAACTCAGAGGCCCCAAAACCTGCTGCCAGTGCTCTTGGTGGGGTGTAATTCTTGGGGATCTTGTAACCTGCAGTGCAGCCCCAGTAAAATTCTCTCCTCCAAGTTCTGATGCAGCTGAACCCTGTTTGGCTTGTGTTAGCAGAAAGGATTGGAGTTCAAAATGCCTTGCATGTCAAATGCTAATAGGGTTTATTTCCCTAAACTTTCTGTAACATGAAGAGGAAGGAAGCGGGTTCCATCTGTAAGATACTCATCTTTTGGCGATGTCTGCTCTGAGCTCTGGTTGTTTGCAAACAGCTCCTTGGTACCTACTCACAGATCTGTGCCTGGGCCGTTGTATTACATAGAAGAAATTCTTTTGCAAATTCAGTTGTCAGACGATAAAAAGATGTTTTAAAAGCCTCCTGCTGCACATTTTGAAAGATTGTTAATAGGAGCATGGAAATATATTTAATCTCTCTTAACTTTTAAAGACAGTAACACTGACATGTTGGTTTTTTGTTTTGTTTTGTTTTGTTTTTGTTTTGCTTCTTTTTTAAGAGAAAAGTGATGCTGAGACAGAGAGTCCAGACAATGGCACCTCAAATACATCGTAAGTCTCTTTCCTGTTTCTATTTGAGATGACAGTTCTTTAATATGCCTGTAATATGAAGCAGTGCGAGTATCTTGCAGTAGTAGTAATAATCATGGAAGGAAGGCTGTGGTTCTATTTCTCATGATAATGTCTTTTTAAATGCTTTTGAGTGCACATGGTTTTGGAGGTTTTTCTTATACTTTAGCATAGTAAGAATAATCTTAAAAATGAAAACGCTCCTCTTCATTAAGTACAAATGAGATTTGAGGGCATGTTTTTATGGGGGAGGAAGAGGGAAACCCTTTTGAATCTGGTTGGGGACTTTCATCACTGTCAAAAATGATGTAGAACTCACACATACACTGGGAGATACTGTCCTACACACCCATGAAGTACCAATGTCATTTGAAAAGCTTGCCATCTGCAACTTCATGTTGGAATTATGTGAAAAATACAATTACAGATACATCCAGAATCTCAAGTTTGTTGATGTTTTTGATTTAACAAATGCAGTTTTTAAAAGATAAGAAAAGGCACCTATTAAACATGTGTTCCTCACTCTATATTTTGCCTTTTTTCCTCTCAGTACCCAAGAAATCCAGTATCTTTTTAATGATCAATTTGATACTAAATTTATATACCGAAGTTTAAATGAAATAATTCATGAGCCAACAAATTATTTTAGCTCCACGGGAATCACTATGGGTTTTTTTCTTTGCAAATGTTTATTATCATGCTGAGGGGTGACATGTGTTTTCTTATTGTAAGGCAGCATTCTGAATTTATCTTTATATGGACCAGCACTTGTACTACAAAGCATTTAAGAGGCTATTCATTAGATATCACAATTTGTGATATAAAATTATTGAGTGTCTTATTTTGTCCCAGGTCTGTTTCTCAGCCTAGAAAGATCCTTGGCTTGCATAGGATGGCGTTATATTTCAGAGAGGATATGATTATATGTTTTTCTTTCTTATTACTACCCTAAAAGTTCTAAATAGTTCCATTGTCATGATTTCTGATGATACAATGAATGTGACTGGTCTTAAATGCTTAAAATATTACTAATTTTTAAATTTTTGTACTATAAAATATAATGGGAAAAGGGTTTTAATGCCATCTGGAGGCGTTCTAGAGAACTGAAAAAGGTAGAATCACTTAAAATTTTGGGTTTTTTGAATAACATTCACTACTGGATAGGAATTTACACAACTAAAATGTTAGCTATTTGGGAGTAAGTTATATTTTTTTATCAATAATTTTGTAAAAAGGCCAATTATTGCAAAAACAACAATTTTTCAAATTCTCATCACCAGAATCATTTTAAAACAAAGATATATACAAAATATCTTGAAAAGCACTAACATCCTACATTTAATTGTGCGAATTTTAAAATTATATTAAGTAGATACCAACTTTATTAATGCACTTTTAAGTTCTCCTTCCCTTATGAATTTCTAAAAAGTTTGTTCTCCAAAGGAATTGATTTCCATACCTTAGTACTTTAAGAAAATATATATGTCGTCTGAGGAATTATTTTAAACTTTCTGGAGATTTGAGGACAGTAAAAGCTTGAAGCATCACCCCACGTTCCTGTCCCTTTAAGCAAAGCAGTTTCTTAGTCATCTGCCTCACTTGCCTCTTGAACTAAAAATAGCAGAAATGAAGTCTGAGGTTGCAAGGATCTCTCTTCCAAGTGGAGAGTTCTGAACCCAAGCCTCTCGGAGCCATCTTGGAGGGTGCTGCTTGTAAGTGGGCAAGAAGAGGTACAGAGCACGGACTCGGGGGCCTAGGTTTGTAAGCATTTTACATTCTCTGTACAGTGCCTTATTTGAGCTTTATTTATTTAGACAGGCAGAGAGGGTCGGGACAACATCCTTATTTTATGTATGAGGACTCTAAGGACCAGAAAAACCATTCAACTTAAATGATAAAGGATACAGTTGGGATATTTTCTTTTTTGCCCTCTTACCATACTGAGGGGTCGGTGGATCTTAGGAAACAAAGCAAAGCCATGAGTCTGAATCAAGGAGAAAAACTGAGGCCAGGTTATTTGTTAAGTGGCAGTGTGTTAATTTGCTAGGGCTGTCATAACAAAGTACCACAGGCTGGCACCTGAAGCACCGAAAATGTATCGTCTCACAGTTCTGGAGGCCAGATGTTCCAGGTCAGTCAGTGGGGTTGGTTTCTTCCATGGGGGAAGGATCCGTCCCAGGCCTGATGCCTTGTTCTGCAGGTGGACATCCCCTGTGTCCTTTCATGTTCTCTTCCCTCTAATCGTGTCTCTGCGTCCACATTTCCCCTTTTTGCAGTAATACCGGTTACATTTGAGCAGGACCCACCCAAAGGGCCCCCTTTTATCTTGCTTACCCCTGTATGGACCACGCCTCCAAATAAGGTCACATGCTGAGATATTAGAGGTTAGGACAGTTCAACTCATAACGTTAAGGGTCAGAGTAATCGGAATGACTCAGAATCTGGGGTGGTAGAACCGGGAGGTTAGGAATGTCAGGCAATGAAGCAGGCAGAGAAAATCTGAGTAAATGGATCACAAACGGTGAGCTCCATGGGAGCTGAAGGGGTAATGCAGAAGAAAGAAAACGAGGTGACATGCATACAGACGCTAAGAAAGATACCAGCTTCACACCTGTGGTGTGGTGAAGCAGACTCGGCTCCAGCAATGCCTGTACATCTCTCAGTCTGTGTAATTCCATGACCCTATGAGTCATTTAAAGCCATTATATGGGTTTAAATTGAGGTATAAAGTTGGGAGTCTCCAGATAGCAAGCTCATCTGAGAAAGAATCTTTTCTCACTAGAGATTAATTAAGCAGGAGATTAATCATGCTAAGTTTTAGACAGTCATTGACAGATATATCATAGTAGTCTGGATAATACCTGAGGATCCTTTAAGGATGTATTATTCAGTAATACTACAAGTATTCATAAAGATGAAAAATGCAGTTTATTCTCAACACACAAAAAAAATTCATAAATTAGAATTTCTGTAGAGTACCAGTTATATTAATGATGGAAGACCTTATATTGGATTAACTTTCGTCAGATAACTATTACAAAGTCTGAGCGATATATTTTAAAAACTAATAGAAGGCATTAGAGGCTGACAAAAAGAAGGCAGAAAATGTTGAGAATTTGATCCTTGAAAGAAGAAAACAAGATGGAGCGAGATGTGCATTTATATAGCTTCCCTCCGAGGGCAGTCCTCATCTGCAAAGTGCAACGAGAACTCAAGGAAAAAGCCACAGTAGTATTGGCTTCAAGTGTCAGAGGGTGGAGTTCAGGTCTGTCAGAGTGGCTGGGATTTAAGGGAAGAAATTCTGGAAAGGAGGAAGCCATAGAGAAGACAGCTCCAGTTCTGTATTTAAAACTCCCTCAATCTTTGGAGGACCCCTAAACTGCCTATGTCTGGGGGAAATGTCAATGAGCCCAGTAGAAAACAATAGCTAGAAAGCTGAAAGAACTGAGCAGAGATTCAGCTGCTGCCTACTACCTACAATTACTACCTATAGAGTTTGGAATGCAAATCCCACCAAAGTTAGAGAGGCTTGAGAAACACCTGGGTTTTCTTTTGAAACCTCAGGTTAAGGATTCATGCTAAAACTAAGGGCAAAACCAAACCATATCCTAATAAAATGTGACACTAAGCAGCCACAAGTTCAAGATGATCAGCTAGTAATTTAATTGCCTGGTAGAACAACAACAAAAAAGATCACTCCTTAAAGGAAGAAAATAGAATCTATAGTCTCTATAACACAACATTTACAATATTCATTAATCTAATAAAAAATGAAGGATATATGAACAGAAAGAAAAATGTGATCCATATTCATGACAGAAAGTTGTCACTATAACAAACTTTAAGGTGACCTAGATGCTGGAACTTTTAAACAAGAACTTTAAAACAGCTGTCATAATATATTCAAAGATATGAAGAAAAACATGGTCATAATGACTAAAAATGGTAATCTTAACAAGGAAATGGAAACAGTTAAGAAAAACCAAATGAATGTTCTGGAACTGAAAAGTACAATATTTGAAATGAAAAATTCACTGCATAGCCAATAAGAATTACCCGATATGAATAACAGTAAGAATAAAGATTTTAAAACCATGGACAGAGGCTCCGTGGATTATGGAGCAATGTCAAGTAGTCTGATATACATGAAATTGGAGTCTGAGAAGAAGCTAAATAGATCAGAAAAAAAAATATTTGAAGAGATAATAGCCAAAAGTTTCCTAAACTAGATAAAAATATTCAGTTATAAATATAGAAACTCAACTAACCCGAAGCAGGAAAAATAAAAATAAAATGACATCTTGAAACATAGTAAAATTGCTAAAAACTAAAAATAAAGAGGAAATCTTGAAAGTTGCCAAAGAAAAATGCCATATTACATACAGGAGAACAGTGAAACAATTAACTGAAGGATTCTTATCACAAACTACAGAGGCTAAAATATACTGCAGAACATCTTTAAGGTGTTAAAAGACTAAAAAAAGATAAAGAACTGTCAAGCCAGAATTCTAAATCTAGCAAAAATATCTTTTAAAATGGAAAGCGAAATAAAGGCATTTTTGGATACACAAAATCTGAGACAATTCATTTCCAGTAGTCCTACACAACAATAAATGATAAAGGAAATTTGTACCTACAGGAAATGATATCTATATGTGTAAATATAAAAGATAGCTTAAAGTAAAGATAAAATATTTTTTTGTGGGATTTGTAATTATTTAGATGTAAAATATATCACAGAATAGCACAGAGAATAAGAGAGGACACAAGTAATTGCATAACTACAAGGTCCTTACATTTTATGTGAAGTGATATGATATTATATCTAAGTAGACTGGTGGTGATAAGTTAAGGATATATAGTATAACACCTATTGAAAATCGCTAAAAACAAATACAATAAAATGGATAGATAAAAAGTCATTGAAGTAATTTAAATAAAATGCAAAAAATAGATAAATACAAAAGATGACAGAAAAGAAA